AGTTATAAATAAAGGAATCCATTTAAATCTACACAAGTTACTTTTCCCTTCAACGTTGTCCTTCACCTAGGATTGTTATGATATACTACACTAACTTGCTATTGAGTTCATTATTACGAGTTCAACTAACATATCTTAAGTTCTAAGACGTAATAAATTGCCGAGTTGATTCAAGTATAACGGATACCTGTAGGACTTAAAGAAAATCCTAAGGTCAGAAACTCCAACGTGTAGAATCAGCTATTGCAGCCTTTTAACTTAAACATTAAGATAAATGAAAATGAACCTGGTGACAGTAAGAATTAATGAATAATTTTTAGTTAAGATCATTCAAAGTGAAAAATAATCAAAATATATAAAACTTGATGTAAATGCAGTTGTATATGGGTTGTATCAAATCTGGAAGCTAAATAGTAAACGATTAATGTCTATAAAGGATGGTATACTTAACTGTGTAGTCTAATGAGTAATAAAGCATTTTGAAAAAACAAAAAGAGGATATGGGTTTACCAGTACACGTAAGCAAAAAATTAGCACATGGGAAAAAAGAATACGCTATCCTGGTGCTCAAGTAGAGGATGTAACAGAATTAGAAAAGATACTTAAGAGGTTGACTAAATTACTTGTAACATTATTTTTAATAGCGAAAAATATCGAACAGGTAAGTTTGAAGAGATAAAAATGGTAGTTCACAATAGCCATGCATTCCCAAGAAACTATCACTTTTTAAGAGATCAAATGGTGGAGTACCATAATAATAATGCATGGAAGGCTATTAATAAAGCTCTTTAAGGATCACAAGCAATATGGCTTATTGAACTTGGACTCAGAGAAGAAGAAATATTGGAAGAGATCCAGTCAATAATCCAATTTGTTCTAGAAGATAGTTACATATTTAAAATATGAATAAAGTATACAAATATTATAAAAGCATGTAAGGAATTATTTGAAGATGCAGTAGACTGACAATTTCAGGAAGGAATAATTAATAAAGAAAGGAAGCGGAAGTCCCTAAAATTGCTTAAAATAGTTGGGTTAGCAGAACAGATATTTGGTACTAATCATGTTAGAGGTAAACTTGCTAACGAGATTAACGATTAGCATCCTACTCTAGCTAGTATGTATAAAAATATAAAGCAATCTTGTGTCAACATAGGTATGAAGGACACTGAAATGCGCCTAATTATCAAGTTAAAAATGCTGTATGTATAGACATGAAGGAATGTTATCCAGCAAGTATACATAATCAAGAGAATGTTCCTCATAGTTTAAACGATTTGGTCATCTAACACACTATCTCGTCTGAGTAATAGTGAATAGGAAATTGTTATCTGATGATATTACAGAATTTGCACAAGTAAGATCCTTTAGATTTGTTTCTAATATTCATTCAGTAATTTCTATTTGGTATAGAAAACACTTTACCTGTCAAAGTGGAGAAGGATGTGGGAAGACAAAATGTTAGACACCTATTATACTTCTACAATATCTTCTTGAAGTAGGTATCCTAGAAAGTGTAATTATAAGTAAAGCTATTATTTCTCTTACCAAGTAAACAAAAGTATGATTGCCTAAAAATTAGGATATTAGTTGTGCAATCATAGGGAAGTTCACTCAAGGAAATAAGGTTGAAGAAAAACGTCTGACCTATTGAGTTGTAATAGATGAAGGCGAGCTTAATTTCTTAATTTAGGATTGTATTAAAGAGGGAACATATGCTGGTAGTGATAAATATCCACTGGAGCATATACTTACGTATTATGAGGGTCAATAGCTCTAATATACACATTTGCAAGCCTTAATGCTGACATATGGGTCGATTACTAGGAAAATCAGGTTCTGAAAATTTTTTAACAAAATTGAAATTTTTATTGCATTTTAGTTTTTGATGTTATTAAATTAAAATATATTAAGCTTTTAATTTAAATCAAAAATTTCTCAAAATCTGATTTTCCTAGAAACCCTCTCATATGTTCATATAAACTTGCTAGAAATACTTTGAAAATTTAATTCTAATGAAGTGGTAAGAATCGCAATAGATTCTATATATATACGAAGAAATGCCTTATATAAAATTGAAAATGTATCTGCCTTTTTTAAGCAAGCTAAGCACTCTCTCAATTATAAGGAAAGGGCAGATACCAGTAAATTTCAATATTCGCATAAAATTTCTTCTTATGCAATATGTGAAGCAGGAGACTTTTATTCAAAAGAAGCAGTCAAAGAATTTGCCAAAAAAGTGAAGGTTCACTACGTAAACAGAATAACAGGCTATTTATCATGTAATGAGCATAAGCCATTCGTATATGCTGTTTACTTTAAGGAATGGTACTTTCGCTTAGATTCTTGAAAGAATACCAAACCTAGTAGAGTTATTACTAAAGAGTCTGAGCTACTAAAAGAGGAAAAGATTCAAGAAATTCAGCCTGATCAATAGTGTGATAAAGGTGAGAAGATTCATGGATCAGATCTTAATATCATATACTGGCTAAAAAATAGGTATTGAAAATCGATTAAAAATATTATAGAGAGTATTATTCTATTAATTCATAATTCTATTACAAGATCTTGAGTTTCATATCTCAATAGAGATGGTGATTCTGAGAAGATAATATGCGTAATTCAAATCTTTAAAGATATAAACATAGTAATCTTTACTCATATGAATGTATTGGTTAAAGACTTCCAAAATGATCATAAGGTAAAAGCCTAAACTTGGTATAGCTTCTTTAGGTGGAATAGTGTAGAAGAGTGGACTCCTGAACGTATGAGAGAAAGAAATTTTCACAAGTAGTTATCTGGGATGAGGTATATATGATACCTAGACATATTCTCAAAATATTTATTAACTATTTGCTAGAACAGAAGTATCAGGTAATCTATTATGAAGACGATGCTTAGCTTCTATCATTCTTTGAAGAGATATCTCATAGTTATTTAAAAGAGCGAACTGATTACTATGAGGAAGTCTTGACTGACTATCAGGCTAAATGTTTTAGATTACAAGAGCTTAAGAAAAAAATGTGACGGCAAAATAATAGAGTACAATTAGACCTATTCTATAAAGCACTTTCAGTTACAAAAAAATGGGAATATCTTAAAGGTAAATAGAAGCCATCAGATCATATCTTATCAGCACATCTACTTTCTTGAAGAATTGCTTCCCAAAAATGCTTTAGAACTTCATTAGATAAAATATCCCAATGTGCTGATTCTATTAATCTATAGGCTAAAAGATGGATGCAAACAAAATTATCTTGTTCTGATCCCTGGCTCATCTGAAAAAAAGGAATTAGTAAAAAATGATATAATATGCTTACCCTTAAATACACTCTTTGACGAATTCTTAAAAGATATATTAGCAGATAAAAAAGTTATATATTGGAAACTTGAATATGCTATGACTATTCACATTAGTTAAGGAATAACCCTTAAAGCTCCATAGAGTGTTTGGGTTATTGATAAAAATCTAGTTTGAGATAATCTAATATATTTAGTAATTAGTTGTGTGAAATATTTAAGCCAACTCATTCGGGTTGAGACGCTTTCATTACCTCCTGAAATTGCTCAAGAGATTGAAAAGGTAAAAAAGAATAGACGGTTAGAGCATGAATTGAGACCATCTATTCAGAAAAAACTTATCAAATATATGGGTCAGGACAAGGAAAAGGGCTGTGAATTTAATCTAATAGTTAACTATATCCTCATATTAAAATGTATTCAAGAAGACAGATGCGTATTATGTCTTATAGAAATAAAATTCAAATGAGATCGATCAGGAGATATATTCCAATAGACAGTAGATCAAATTTACAATAGTTTGAGGTATATCAAAGGGAATGCATGCTTAACTTGTCTTCTTTGCAACTGAAATCATAGAGTCTAGTTCATTCTGATGATCTAGATTAGTAGTATAATGCATATATGCAATTTGAAGAAAGCAAATTACAATACTTACATAATTACTGTATTCCTCCGAAATAAGCAACCCTCAAAATAAGCAATTCTTAAAATAAATAATACCCAAAAATAAGTAACACATTGAATATTTAATTAGTTTCGCATTAAAACTATATGTAATGTAATAAGAACATTTTAAATAATAAAATAAAGCTCAAATAAACCAAAAAAAGTATTTTATTAATGAAATAATTGCTTACATCACTATCAAAAATACACATATTAATTGCAAAATTTTAATACAATTAAATATATTAATCACTTCTACTACTAACAACTTCGTAAACTAGTTCACGATACATGTAATGTATATTAAATGATCAGTGATCACGTTAGAGTTATGTTAATTTTATAACACAAAAATCAAACTTTTAACTATACAGTATATTAAAAAAAATTTTACCTGAAAATAAGCAACTTTATAATAAAATTACGTTGCTTATTTTCAGAGAAATACGGTATTAGATTTTTTCTGAAGCAATAAATATTCAGTTATTTTTTTTGCGAAGTGCCTTAATGGTAAGGTACATAGCCAATCAGATTAATTAAATCGGCTAAGCAGATTAGCTAACTGGTAATGGTTAAGTCATGAAATAATTAGTGCAAGACAATGGGTAAGTTTACTACTAACCTAACGCAGTATTTGCCATTATGCAATCTAACCAAATATGGAGCTACCTTTGGCAACAAGGCAACCGGCTTTATTACTGTTAAAAATATAAAACAAAACAGAGTTGTAAGCATGTTTGATTATCCTGAGCTATGTGAATATCTAAAGTCAGATGCTTATCATTAATATTATTTTTTCGATTAAAGATATAGGCATATATAACAAAGTATAGGATTTAATAGCAATTTGTACAATATGAAAAGCTTAGATGATATTATAGAAGATGTGAATAAAAATATTAAAAAGGTGTTTCTAGCAGGGTTGCACCTGAATTTTGACAAGAAGCCTATATAATTAGTCTTAAATTAACATTGAATAGATTGGCACAGAAGCTAGAGTTTGCATAAAAAGATAATTGTTCTTCTAAGCCAATCAGTTTAGAGTAGTGATCTTCAACTCAGAAGAATTTACTGAGCTATACACAGCGCCTTCAGTCAGATTGTGCAACAAAAAATAAGTGGATCATTGCTTAGAAAAATAAAACATTTTTACTCCCTCTGGACTTTACCTTTGGCAGAAAATAGTCTAGGCATATTAATACCTGCTAAAGGTAAGAAGTTTTGAAGATATATTCTTGCATTTTTATTGGCTTTTTTTAATCCACTTATTTCCTGATCATAATGACTGACAATACCAAGATGATCTTGAATCATGCTTATATCCACTTCCAAATATAAAAGCAAATGATATAATGTCTTAAGTGACCTTTTCCCATATATTTATCCCTTAAGATCATGCATATTATTATATAATATAGTATAAATGGGTGACAATCTACATCGAGATCTTCCTGTATTTCTATTAATTCTCTTACTAAATCAAATAATAGCCCAAATGAATCTTCAAGTGTTTTTCTTTTTGCTTTGATTCAATACTATCAGATTTCTATTCTCAATAGGTCCTTTCCCCTGAACTGGATTCATATTGGGTTTTTTCTGAATAGCTATTATATCTTTCTTCTTATACAAAAGCATTTCATATAATTGAATTTGGCTTTTATCAAAACTAATATTAGTATTACTTGTCATAATTGTGTTTATCTCTGGTTAGCATATATTTAATTTTGTGTTCGAAATACTGATCATCAACTGGAGCAGTGATAATTAGCTCAGAGAAATTTGCTGAGCCACTTCTGTGCAACAAAAAAATAAGTGAATCATCAGTCAAGTCTTGTGCGACATAATAATTTTTGCATATATATTCAAAAAAACATATTAACCTCTATTCTTTATTTTTTCCTCAAACAATCATGAGAAAAATGTAAAAGGAGGTCTAGTTGCAATACAGAATCTATTATAAAAGTAAATATTGAGGGAAAAGCAAATATTATGAAGGTTTGGTAGACTCATAATTTTGAGATCGCTAGGCATAAATCTAACTATGTGTCTCTCTGATAGATCTATATGTGAAAAGGTATAAGGATTCCATTTGCATGTACAGTGAGGTATTAAAAGTCACTAGGCACTTAAATTAGAAAATTAACGGAAATTTTGACCTCAAATTAAACTTTTTTTTTATTAATTTAATTGACTTTAGTTAAATAAGCAAAGTTATTCATTTTAATGTTTTATATATATTTTAAAGTATATTTTTAATATTTAATTAGAAATAAAAATATTTATTATATATTTAATTAAGAATTTTTAAATTTTAATACAAGATTTCAGTTATAATAAAACATTGAAATTATTAGTTGTAATACATTTTTTATTCTAAGTAAACTTGTTAAGCGTATCAAAAAATATATATTTGTTCAAGATTTCAGATTAATTACATTTATATTTGTTGAGATCGTCTTGGTATAGTGAGTACTAATTATGTGCAATGTTAATCATTTTTTCAATTTTGAATCAAAATTTTAAATCAAGTTTTTTCCATAACCATCAATAAAAATTTATTTTCAAAATAGTTTTTATAAAAAAAAAGACTACTCAGTATAAAAAACTATTTGATTTTTAATACGATGAAATTATAGGTGCTTAGAAGTATGGGTTTAGTGAAAGAAAAATAAGTGAAGTACTAAATTATCCAAAAAGTACAGTTCATGATGTTATTTTTATATATAAAAATGATAGTCTTGAAATACTTCCTTTTCGAAGTAGTAGATCACCTATTTTAACTGAAAGAGATAATTGTCATTTAATGCAAATTCTTAATAAAAATCATAGAACTAATATTAATGAATTATATGAAAATTTTGTTACTTCTACTTCAACAAATATAAGCCAAATTACTCTTAAAAAACATCTTCATAAAAATGGAATTTTTGGAAGAATTGGAGCAAAAAAACCTTTTATAAATGTAGCTAATAAAATAAAAAGATTAATATAGGCTAAAAATAGAAAAGATTGGAAAAATAAATGGAAAAATATTATTTAGAGTAATGAATCTCAGTTTGAAATATTTAAAGGAGATGGAAAAAGATATGTTTGGAGAAATGCTCAAGAAAAATATGATCCAAAATGTTTTATTTCTACATTTAAATCAAGTCAACAGAGTGTTATGATTTGGGATTATTTTACAAAGAATAAACTAGGTCTATTAGTCAGATTAAAAGGTAGAATAACAGTAAATATATATATAGATGTGTTAAATAACTATTTATTACCATTTATAAATAGTTTAGAAAATAAAAATAATTATATTTTTAAGAAGATAATGTTCCAATTCACAAAGCAAATGCAGTAAAAAAATGGGAAGTAGAAAATAAGATTACAAGCTTATCATGATTTGCACAGAGTCCAGATTTAAATCCCATAGAAAATTTATGGGATTAATTGAATAGAAAAGTTAGAAAACATAAACCACTACCAAAAAATCAAGATGATTTATGGCAGATTTTGCAAAACGAATGGTTAAAACTTGATGAAAGTATTTATAAAAATCTTGTTGATTGTATACCACGTTGTATTGCTGCTGTTATTGAAAATAAAGACAATCTTACAAAATATTAATAATAAAATTATAAAATATATATTTATATGATTAATATAAAAAAATTTCATTCAAATTGATATGATAATTTGTAAGTTATCTCAATTTAAAAATTTGATATAATTTTTTAAAAAATGATTAACATCACAAATGCTTAGTGACTTTTAATACCCCACTATATCTTCATAGAACTCTTAGCATTATATGACAATGCTAATCATGCCTCATACCTCCTTAACTTTTTTCCAGCAATATATAAAGCATGTAGGAATATGTAAAAGTTCAGCCAACTTTCTATAAAAATATTCTCATAAAATAACATAAAATAAGGTATATATATGCTAAAAGTGTATGTAGTGAAGTGAAAATTTTTCACTATGAGCTCTTGTTTTTAGGAAAGTAAGATGTCCAATACTATTATTACTCTCAATTGTCTTCTTTCACCTCCTGTCTCAGATCCAAAATCAATTTTATCAGAAGGAAGTATTACTACGCTTAAAATCTCTACTGGTAAAACAGTTGATCAGTTAAGAATTATGATTAGAGAAAGGTAGCAATCCTTATTTAAAAAGATTCCTCCTACTGAGTTTTTACTCTAAAAGATCAATAATACTAAAGGAGTTATATTAATTGAAAATCAAATTGAAGAATTTTCTAAAGGAAAACGTCAAAATAAAATAGGAATGCCTTTACATGAGTTGATTTCTAAGTATTTTTCCTAATAACCCCTTAATAATAGAATTAATATTTATGTATTTATTTAAAGTATTATGTAAAGCGATAGGCCTGAACCATGAAATATAGACATGTGAAATGCCTTAATAGCCAATTTTTATGTATTATGAGCTGACTTCTGATAATATTTTTATTTCATAAATAAAGTATTATTTTATCAAATGTATAGTATATGAAAAGCAGGTTATGTGTAATGATATGGAGACTATAAATTTAACATTTCTATCTGAGTCAATTTAGCCTATATAAAAATGTCAGGTAATAAGTGAGAAGAGTCTTCATGATTAGGGAAGCATAGTGATTAGACAATCGTTGCATCTATAATACAATTGCTGATCATATGGTAGGCTTGTGAAATAGAATAATTTTTCACATATAGTATTTTTTTCACAAATAAAATTCTTTTTACTTTTATCCTTACATACTGCACTTTGAGCCAATAATATTTTGCAAAAATTACTATATAATCTGAAAACATATCTATCACGTTATTATATCTCGTCAAAGGAAATAAGACTGCAAATGCTTTCTCTGTTAAAATAAGTAGGAACAAGCCTGTTAGTGAATTAAAGAAAGCTATTAAGGTAGAAAAGGCATCAGAATTTGACAATTTTTCTGCAGACAAGCTCAAGCTATGAAAAGTGATGATCTCTGACAATTATGTTCCTATAAGCAATCTTTCACTAGAGAATAGTGAAGAGCTGTTAGTAATAAGAAAAATTTTGAAATACTTTCTGATTCACTTCCCAAAAAATATATTCATGTCTTAGTCGAACCACCAGAGGCCACTACCACTTCGAGCAAAGAGGTAAAGGAATTGCTTGACCGCATCGCATCATTGAAGAAATCACTTAACAAGTCAACTCATGGCATGTATTTTTTTTCCTAAATAAAGGTCAGTGAAAAATTACTAACTGGCTATTATATTACAGTGTTTGATGTTATCGTTAGGCTAAAACAGAAGGTAAATAAGTGAACTGTAAATATTGAGCAAGCAATCCTCAAAGATTTCAGAGAATACATTCGTGAATTGTATAAGCCACTAACGCTTAAAAATGATAGAGCAATACTGAACTTCATAAATGATGGTGATAGATATTATCCTAGAAATAATAAATCATTTTGAAAGATATTGTGAACGCTAGTATTAAAGAACAATCTCAAGTTTACTGTATTTATAGAGACTTTCTTGAAACCATTCAACTCCTGGATCTTTCCTAAAGTATATAAATTCTATGAGTTTAGTAATGACTTGAATCCTAGTATTGATATATATCCCATTTTTTATTATGGTTCTGCTAACCTAAGTAGCGAAAAGTCTAAAGCTATAATTAAGCATTTAATGCTATTTAGCTTTTGGATCTCATTTTACAAAAATAATTTCAAGCTTATACTGGTAAAACTTATTGAGAGTTAAAATAGACAAGGAAACCTTGATTATGCAGTAGAATTTTATTCGATTGGTAAATCCTTGGTGTAATCGAAGTTAATAAGGAAGATTTTATGAAGGGATTTGTCTAAGTATTCATGCAGATGGAGTCAACTTTGTCACATAAATGCAAAGCAGATGAAATTGATAATAGACAAGACATAAATAGGGTATTTAGGATTGTTATCAATGCATCTGAATGGTATTTTATGGAATATTCGCTAGATAATGAAGGGAAACCATTGTTTAAGCTATCAGAACCAGTGATTGTTGTGTATAAAGATGAGAATTTGCAAGCTAAAGTAGAAAAGGTTTTCGAGCATATTGTATGGTTATTGGAGAAAGCACAGAAGCTGATAAAAGCTTCACAAAGTGGTGTAAAAAGGGTAAAGTCATTTAGCAACATTATAGGAAAATTAAATTAGAATTTAGGAATAGATAGAGCTTAGAATAGAAATGTAGAACTTTATCATATATCACTGGCTACGCTCTAAACTTTTTTATCTTATATTAATAAAAAAAATTTGAATTTTGCAGGTATATATGATAAGCGAAAAAATATATAGTCATGGAACTGCCATTTAAGGGCTATAAACAATTTATTTATATTGTAATCACACCTTAGCAAAATGCTCGTACTAGAGCCAATATATATTCTAACCCTAAAACACTCATCTTGGTAAATGCGTCATATAAAGAATTTGACTTATACTTTGAAGAAACTAAATTTGAATGATAAAGAAATTTCACAAGTATGTCATTTCTTCAAACTTTTGTCTCCTCACATTCCCAAGTTATCTCTATCAATGTAGATAGGTTAATGTAATTCATTTCCATTAGGTTTTGAAGCAAAGATCATTTATTTTTTCAAGGGTAAATTAACTCAACCCACTTTCAACAACAAAGTCTACAGTAATAGGGAAGTTTTTATGAATATCTGATCTACTTGTTAAGATAGATAAAGGCGGAATTAAGGCTAGATAGTAGAAGTCAGCTAAGGGATCCAGCTCAAATTTACTGACACATATAGTCTCAATATCTTCTAAATAATCCAAAAGTCTATTAGTATATCTGTAACCTTCATGAATCAATTTCTGAAATAGCTTTCCATTCAGGCTGATCCATCGATCAGTTAGTAAATTAAGTACTGTTCTATATATGTCTGATTCTTGTATATAGATTGTTGAAATTAGTATTTATGAAAGTGATAATAGATGATTAGTACTTATGAAAATAGTATATTTAATTACTCATTTTCTCCCATATTCTTCTTTTTATAATATATGTATGCTCTTTTCTTATCTTATTTGCATTGAACATAAAGCTGAATGCTTGATTTAGTGTCTTATCTACATCCTTTACATAGTTGTGAGATTAATATATCCTTTCGTATTTTAAATGCGTAAGATGCACAATATTGATCTCATGCTGATTTTTTGCAGAAATAGGTCTTTTTAACTAACAACCAATTACAAAACATTTCTTTTCTTTGTTCATTATTCATACTCATTTCATAATTAAAATTCATGATACTGCATTTTTTTATTTTGAATGCTTATATACAGTATATTAGTTTTATATAGATCATGTCATCTGAGCTTGAATCATTAAAATAGCGTATTACTAAACTTGAGACTAAGAATGTTAAGATCATAGCTGATTATGAGACTGAGATTGCTATACTTAAGAAGGAGAATGCTAAAATTTCTGAACTTAAAAAGGAGAATTCTGATCTTAGAATGAAGTTCATTAACTTTGATGCTAAGAGAACTGAACTTAAACGTAAGATTATTGAGGCTCTAAGATTGACTGAAAAAGAGAGAATGAGGCATGTTGTTGAAAATATTAAACTCAAGGCTAGAATTGAGGAGTTGGAATCTGAGTTTAGAGATAGACTCACGAAAGTAGAACAAAAGCAAATATTAAATGATAATACTCTTAATAAAAACTCATCTAACTTTACTTTAACACCTTTGGCTAATTCAGGTGTGATCCATTATAAAAAACTGTTAAAGAAAAAGATAAATAGTTTCTTGCTTGAGGCTCATAAGAAAATCATTAATAATAAAATAAAGCAACGCAATAAGGAAAAGAAACTTAGCAAAGCAGAGCAAGAATCTCTTAACTAAGATTAAGAATCTGATACTGGATGCTTTACTTCTGAAAAGATACTGGAAGTATTGAATCTCGTGACTAAAATTTCAGTCAGGCCTCTAGCCAAAATAGCCATAGGAAGAAAGGTGCAGAAAACATCGTACAATTGATAGCTAATGGTATTAAAGATGATGCCCAATTGAACAACAAAACTATTCCTTGCGATATGATTTCAATTGAGAGCCTTAATCAAAATTCATCTACAGATTTATTGCTTTCTCTAGTACAATTATTTAATAAAGCGGATGATGCTAAATATGATGCAATTCGTACTAATCAAAAAGAGATTTTGCATTGGTATTATTATGAAAAGAAATTTTTAATTCAGGTTACTATAATTGTACAAGATGAAAAAGACAAAATAGGTGAAAAAAAGGCAAATGGAATAATCTATAATAAAATGTTGAAATACCTATCCATATTGCAAAAGCAATGATCTGAAGATATAGGATTATGTCTCCCAGAAATCTTCCATAAAAACTTACAAAGAAAAATTCAGAAAGCTGTAAAGATATATAAAATATTTGAAAAGGTAAACATAGAGAATATTAAGTATATTACTACATATAATGCAAACTCTATTTTTGAGTTAACTAATGATAAAGTTTAAGATATTATAGAGACCTCAGAAAGGTGGGATAATTTATCTGAGCATAATGATAACGATAATACTGATGTGAAAGAAATACTAACCAATATAATTAGGATTTTAGCCAGAGCTCCGGTCAAAATCATATAACCAAAAATCCTGAAACCAGAGAAAGAATTATAAATGCTCCACCAGCTTTGAAATCAACTGAGGTTAATATATCAGCAAATGTATTATTTGTACCTCAATCTAAGCCTGATCATTTCTATTTTCGCAACAAGATATTGGATTAATATTCTAATCTATTTAGAGAATGTAGTATTGAAAATTTTAACTAATATGGAATTACTGATGAGACAATATGCAGAAACTATATCTGCCTATTATGCAAATTAGGCCATGATGATGAAGAAATAGAAGGTAGGTATAAAGTAGGATCTTACTTTATTAAATATGAATAATGTGAAATTGAGATAGTTCATAGTCTCATTGCTTTACAATAGTCTAGGAATTTTAATCTTTTTTTTTCGAATGAATAGGTCTATATAAGAAAAAGGGATTTAAATTGTTTACAGACATATAAAAGGAAAATGACTGAGTCTGATAAAATACTAACCTCCGAATATCTAGACTGGCATGCTAAATTAAGTAGGTTATCAAGTATTTTGACAGATAAGATTCGTTTCAAATTATACAAAAGATATAAAAAATAAACTGGAAATGAGCTATAGCAATTATCAGAAGCTGTGATAGATATGTTAGCAGAACCAGTCCCTTGCCTTGAGCGCCTTTGGTTAGGATTACCTCAAGCCTCTAATTTCAAGCCTATCACCTTTAAAGCCAGATCTGATTCAAAATCAATTATCCAGTCAATCTTAGAGCACTTTCCATACTTAAAATTCTGAAATAGTTTCAGGGAGATTGATAATTATGATTTTACAACACCTCAGCCATAGAGTTCACCATGCTTATCTGTGATAGAAAACATGGAAATTATAGATTACATGGCTCATAGTACTGCGAAAATAGGAATTAGCTTTCTTATGATCCTGAATTAGTAAAGTTCTATTCTCAAGATAAGTTGGAATATTATTTTACCTGCAACACTTCAAGTAATAAACTCAAGTTCGCAATTGTAGTATAGACTGGTTGTGTGAGAGACTATCACCTGAAAAAATGCGCAGTTTTTACTTGTTGTTTTTCTCCTGAGGGTTCTAACATATATTCAATAAAATTACGTATTATCAGACCCCTTGTCAATATCTTTACATAAGGATATAGTTTTCTTTAAAAGTGTATTCCAAATTTGATTTTTAGACCCACTACAAAGTATAAAATAGAGTGAGACGCTATTAGTTATTCTTTTTGACTACCTTATATAAGTAAAGCAAAATTCAGGCGAAACTAATAAACTTACCGTTATATCTAATCAAAAATATCATATCAAAAATAAAGCCACAGGCAGGAACGATGATTTATGGCATTTTGTAAAATATCACAATACCATAAAATTTTGTGATAATCACAAAATTTCCTATCGTCACCACATAATTTCACAAAAATTTGATCCATATTATTTGTATACACAAATATACATAAAATATGCATAATAAAACACATAATTCGTAGTATAGATAATCTTTTAACAATGTAAATCTACTTAACTATAAGTAGAAAAATCATAGATATCATAGACGAACTTCATTAAAATGGTGTTTAGACAAAAAGTCAGTTCTATTACAGCTTATATATGAGTTACTGAATACAAAGAAGTATTTCACGTTGATAATGATTTACTTTTTTGTAATTATTGCGATTTTTCAGTAGAATAGAAGCATAAATCAACAATTGATACATATTGTGCAAGTAAAAAACATATTTTACAAAAAAAAAATTTTGAAACAAAAGAAAAAGCAAAAAGTCAACAAACATTACAATTATTCTTACTTGCCTCAGAATTAAAAAAAAGAAGTAATAGAAGATTTAATAGAAGCATTTGCTAATGCTAACATTCCATTAGAAAAAGTAAACCTTTTACTTACTTTTTTTAAAAAACACTTTAAAGAAGAAGAAGCAATTCCTCAAGCACCAACTTTACATCAATTATACTTATCCAGAGTTTTTAATAAATATGTGGATGCATTAAAAATAATTTTTAATACTAAACCTATTTGTATTATTATGAATGAAAGTAGTGATGATTGTGCACGAAGTGTAATTAATACCCTTTTTACATATTGTTCAGATACTAAATTAGTATCTGTTGATTTTTTAGAATAAGTTAATAATTCAACAATTGCATAGACACTTCTTCTTATATTACTTTTTTATAATATTCCTTTGAAACTTTCTTTTTTATTTCTCTTTAATTCTGCTGCATACATGAAGAAGTATTATCAAAATGTTTTAAAACTAATTATGCCTCAATTAATATATCTACCATGCCCTGCACATATATTAAATCTAATTGGATAAGTTATTTAAATTAAAA